CCCCTTGTTGGGGGCGTGGTCGGGCGTCAGCCTCTCTGGGCCCCTGTTTACCCCTTGTTGGGGGCGTGGTCGGGCGTCAGCCTCTCTGGGCCTCCGTTTACCCGTCGTTGAGACCCGCTGCCTTCACTTGTGTACAGACTGCCCAGTGTGAGATCTGGCCCCCACGTGTCCACCATCTGCTGGATGGGAACGATGGGTGTGTGCCAGGGTTTGGAACAGAGCCGGCTCTGTAACGAGCTGTGGTCACCCCCTAGGGCAGCGTGAACTCCGACGCTGTCAACGCAGCACCGGCCAGGGGCCTGGCACCTGCAGGAGCCCTGTTACAGTGCGGCGGCGATACGCAGCCTGGCACAGTGGGGCCGCAGGCTTCCTGACCTGCAGACCTGGTTCAGGCTGAGGCTGGGCCCCTGCTGGCGTCACCGTCTGGGCAGGGGCTCAGAGTCTCAGACCTCGGTCTTCTTGCCTGTGACTCAGTTGATCTAACAGCCCAGTGTGAGGCGCATGACTGAGGCCCAGCTGGCACCTGGGGCACAGGCTCTGCCCTGGCTGTGTTGTTGCGTGTCCGATGCAGATCTGAGGTGAGGCCAGCTGGGGGCCTGTCCCTGCTGGACAGGGGAGGGCGTGGGGTTTGGGTTTGCTCCTGGGGGCCCAGGTGGCTGAGATCCAGCTGGTGGGTGGGTTAAACACCTGAGGTGCCCCCATCTCGTGGAGCAGTGGGGGGGGGTACTCAGGCAACCGCAGCCAGTGTCCCTGTCCCATCGAGAGCTGAGATGGGCAGTAGCTAGAGGGCAGGGCAGGGGTCTGGATGGGGGGACACCTGAGCCCAGCCCCCTCCCCACTCAGGGGATACAGTCGGGCATTTTTTGTTTCTCATTGAATCTGATTTTTCATTTTCTTTCTATTTGTGATGAATGATGCTGATATTTCTATTTATAGAAATTACATAAATTTTATTTAAATAAGAGAGCAAATGGATTTGTATAAAAATCTAAAAAAATGGTGGGTAGGATTCTGGGTGGGGCTGGGAGCTCAGAGCCATGGGCGCAGCAGGAGGGGATGGCATCTGGGAGCCCCGGAGGGTGCCAGGGTGTGGGAGGCAGTGGGCCTGCTGACCCACCCCTGACCTCACCCAACCCTGCTGCTGCCCCCTGACCTCACCCTGACCCACCCCTGACCTTATCGCAACCCCCGACCCAGTCCTTGACCCCAACATTGACCCCGGCCCCATCTCTGCCCCTGACCTGGACCCCGATCCCTCCCCTCCCCATGCTCCTCTTCTCCCTCTCCCGGCTG